ATTTTTTATTTGCTATATCATAAGATGTAGAACCTAACTCCTATAACCAATCAGTTCAATTTACATGCTATAAAGATCTATGCTAGCTGAAATTAAGGCCTTGAAAGAGAATAAAACTTGGGAATTAGTTGATTTACCTCCTGGCAAGAAACCCATTGGTTACAAGTGGGTATATAAAATAAAAAAAAAAGGTTGATGGCTCGATTAATAAATATAAGGCCAGGTTAGTTGCTAAAGGTTATACTCAACAATCTAGTATTGATTTTTTAGATACTTTTTCTCAAGTTGCAAAGTTAATGACCATTCGTACTATGTTGGTTATAGTTGCGGTTAAAGAATGGCATTTACATCAACTTGATATTAATAATGTGTTTCTTCATGGTGATCTACATGAAGAAGTGTACATGACTCTACCTCCTGGCTTTCATGGTTCGGGTAATCAGGTATGCAGGCTTACTAAGAGTATCTATGGTCTTAAATAAGCAAGTAGGCAATGATATTTCAAGTTGACTGAAGCCTTAAGAAAATTTGATTTTGTGCAATCCAATTCTAATTCTTCATTATTTCTTCGGTGTCCAGAATCTTCTTTTATTGCTCTTCTTATATATGTTGATGATGTGATATTGGCAAGTGATTGCGTGGTTGAATTCAGATGGTGACGGATTTTCTTCATAATGAGTTCAAAATTAAAGATCTTGGTGAACTCAAATATTTCTTGGGACTTGAGGTTATTCGTTCTTCTGAAGGTATTAATGTGAATCAAAGATAATATACTTTGGATTTACTTCGAGGTATTGGTTTCTTAAGTTGTAAACCGGCCTTATCGCCCATGGCTTCGTCAACAAAGTTAGTTCAACATGAGGGTTCCCCAGTTGTTGATATTACCTCATACAGGAAGTTTGTTGGTAAACTTTTGTATCTCATCAACACTCAACCTGATATTAGCTATTCAGTTCAATAACTCTCACTATTTCTTGATGCCCCTACTAAGATTCATTTGCAAGTTGCACATCGGGTCTTGAGTTATTTAAAGGAAACATCAGGACAAATAATTTTTTATTCAGCTCATACTTCATTGCATCTTAAGGCCTTCAGCGATTCTAATTAGGCCTCTTGTGCAAATTCTCGTAAATCTCTTATGGAGTTTTATGTATTTCTTAGTGATTCTTTTGTTTTTTGAAAAATTAAAAAATAATCCACTATTTGTCGGTCTTCTTCTTCCGAGGTTGAATATCGAGCTTTAGCCATGGTTACTTGTGAGATACAATGATTATCTTTTCTACTTGCTGACCTGCGTATTACTTCTCCAACTACTATTTTCTATTGTGATAACTTGTTAGCTATTAAGATTACAGAAAATCCTGTATTTCATGAGCGCCCCAAGCATATTAAAATCAATTGTCATGTTTTTGACAAAAAAATTTCAGAAGGTCTCATCTACTTGTTACCGATTTCTTTTTCATATCAACTTGCAGATTGTTTCATAAAGACACTTCCCTCTTCTTAATTTCAGAACTTTATTGTCAAGCTTGGTATACAGAATCTGTATACTCCAGCTTGAAGGAGGGCTATTAAAATATATAGTAAGGGATATAATTATAATTATGTACAAAATTAGGGTTAAATTTGTAATTTACTTTTCTTGTATAAATACCCTGTTGTTGTTCATCAATAAAATCATATTCTCATTTTCAGACACTTGAGCCCTTCTCTTCTCTGAGTTCTACAATTTCTTCTTTTCTCTTCAATTATTAATTTCTAATGTATACCGAGATTAAATGGTAATTATTATCAAAATCAACAAGTTTCCAAATTTTTAACCATTTGGAACATGCACACATATACCCATATTGGATTTCATTTCAAAGCAGTGAATATTGACAAAATTGACATATAGCATGTCTTTATTTACAGCATGTATATATTTTAGTGAGGATAAATTAAAAATTCATTGGCATGATTTGAGAGTGCAAAAGCCGATTAGATTAGTCTCAGAGGCACGTGCAAACTAACCCAAAATATGATAATTTAATTCACCCATTGGGCAGGAAGCTGACCACGACATATATAAAACATGTGTATAATGTAAGATATATATATATATACAGAGGTACAAATGTTAGACAGGTAATGTAAATTCAATAAAGAAAAAGAGTGGTGTGCTAATCTAATTGGATCCGTTGAGAATGCATGCTCTCATGACAGGAGCTATCTCTCACTTTTACATTGCGGCCTGCCAGCGCCGGCCAACAAGACTATAAGCATATGCCAGCATAATATATAATTATCAGAAAATGGAAGTACGAGTCTCCCATAAAATAGATGGGAATGTTTTCTTTTTAAATAATACAATGATGGTTAAAAATTCATCACGGTTGGATATAGGAATTTGGATTTTTTGTACTGAAATTTACTTAGTCATGGGTTTGTATACTTCAAAAACTTGCTAAATATTTGTTATAGTCTATTTTTCTCTCGAATTAAACGAATAAAGTAAAAATAATAATAATAAATAATCCAGTTGGCCTAAGTTTATTTTAGACAATACGAGGCGCTGCAACCTCTTCAATAGGCCCAACTTAAAGGAAAACGATAGTCGTCGGCTTAAGTTTCTTTCAAGATGCACAAATACAAGATAAGCCCTGAAACTTTTTGTTTGAATATATTTTGGGTGAGGTACAAGCCCCAAGATTAATGTGTACTTTCTTAGCCACTTCTGCCTCCTTGTTATTTTTGTAAGAATCGTGTGACAAATTAACCATATATATATAAGCACAATAAAATATGGGAGTTCATTATGATTTGCCATGTAAATATAACCTACCTAAGGAGGAGTTTGTGATATTAGTGACAAGCGTCCGGTGTATATGCATGTAATTCGTGAAGTAGCATTAAGTTGACAATGTTTTATCCAGGAACGAATGGTAAGGTGCACTAAGAGCATAAATGAGATATTGGATCTCATAAATGTGATTCAATATACAAATATACATTCTCTTCAGCGCATGCAAAGGCACATATTGGTACGTACTGGATCCGAAAAGCTATCTCACTACAACAATATACTACACTCATCAATCCCGCATTGTCAACAACAAAAACAAAAACGAGAAAAAATCATCGAAGGTTGAAGTGGAAGGAACACAGAATCATACATGCTGTACCATGGCCACAAGGTGTTCTAGACAATTAACATTAGCAGAGAATTAATATCTACT